TGATTCAAGAAAGACAGGGATAGTTGCCTTCCGCCTTCCCTTTTCAAACCGTCCACTCCGGCCATCAACCGAAAGGAAAACTTCGATATAGCGCAAGCGTTTCACGTCTTCGGATCGCGCTCTCCCTCTCGCTGAAAATTGACCAACCCGCTTTTCCTTTCGTTTGCCCATAAAATATTATCCCTGGCTACACACTCACGGGAATCGTCGAGAAAAAGAAATCCTCTCCCCTCTGCCCACCCTCTTTCGTTAAACCACCACTTTTTCCGACATGTTCTCGCGCGACGAACAAAAGAACACGGAAACAGGATATGATCATGTTTGATTTATTTTTCCTATTGTTTTCCTGCTTTTCGAGATTTTTGTATTTGGAGATTTAGGAATTTGAGGATTTGCGAAGGGGAAGATTTAGGAATTTGAGGATTAGCAAGTTTGAGAAATTTTGAAGTTTGAAAATTTGGGGGTGTGAGAATTTGGGTGCTGGAAAATTTGGGGAAAGGAACTTAAGTGTTTGAGTATTTGAAATTTTCGAAATTATTGAATTCGGTAGCTGTTAGGAAATTTGAGGGCTTGGGAATTTGAGAGTTGAAAAACTTGGGGGTTGAAAAACGAGAGGTCTGTGAATTTCGTGGTTTCTGAAAAGATTAACAGAGAATTTTGAATAGAAATCTTGGCGTGTTCGATGAGGATGTAAAACACGCGACCAATTTGTCCGGCTCAATTTGTCGAGCCACCCTTCCGCGGTTCGAAACTGTCTAGTAGGAGTGACACCCTTTAAAACACGAAACAGCGAAATCGATCGATCTGATGGACAGACGTCGAGTAAATTGAATTATACAAGTTGATATCGTGCAACGGCGAACGATAAAAGTTTAATGGGAACGTAAAACCCGGCTGGCAGCGTAAAAGCGTACGAAACGGAAGGAACGAAAAATCACGTGAAATAAAAATCAAAGAAGCAAAAAGAAATTTTATTCGCAACACATTCCAGCTGTATATAAAGCATTATAAAGGGCGGTAGAATAAAGAATAATAAATAATAGATGTACAAAATAAATAAATAATAACAGAGAAAAATACTTGCTTTACTTCGCAGCTCTTATATAAAAATATACGATCGATCTTGTATCAATAAACCATTAGAGGTTACTTGTATTACAACAGTGTGTACATAAATATGCATACACACGTAATAAATATATATATTTATTTCTTTTCGACTATGTCACGTGACTAGATCAGCATTTGGAATTGTAAATCGTGTCGAAAATGACTAGATGAGCTAAAAATAAATTTTCTCCCTAGACGCGCGGAACACTTTACAAGAAAACGATACGCTCGTCGTATGTATACGCTCGTTTATAATCTTCTCTCGAAACGCGCTTAACCTATATATATATATATATACTTATATTATCAATAATAATAATATATATATAATATATATCAATGTTCAATATACTTTGTCTTTCTATGTATTTTTGATTTAAAGGGGTAAAATTTGATTTTGCGCTCAATTACATTAGTCAAGGCAATAACTAGTTTTCGGGACGTACCGCTTGCAGTTAAGTTGAATGATCCCCGAATATCCAGGACCGTCATGATTTTCTTTCGTGCGTTAATTTTATCGGGAACAAGGAAAAACGATACTATCCGGATCATCGATACGTGGCAAAAATAATAAATCGCAGGCGGCACGCGAAAAACCATGACGCCCCCTTTTGCGTTGCCCGATTTATTATCGACCGCGAGAGTCGTTGCAATAATTAAAATCTACCCTCGTCGCTGCGTACGGTCCATTAAGTGCACAATACGCGTAAGTTCCATGGGATGCAATTAAGAGGGTGCCGATTTACATGGACGCACGCGTTTTGCATGTCACCGCTCGTGGGGTGAGTAAAATGGTGAGAAGGGGAGAG